CGGGAGAGAAATGGGATGGGAAATGATCCTAAATGGGGATGGGAGGGGAAATGGGATGGGAAATGATCCCGAGTGGGGATGGGACGGGAAAAAGGACAGGAAAATATCCCGAATGGGGCCGGGAGGGGAAAAAGGAGGGGAAAGCTCCTTAATGGGGCTGTTAATGGGATCGGGAGGAGAAAAAGGATGGGAAACGATCCCGAGTGAGGCCGGGAGGGGAAATAGGACGGGAGAACTCCTGAATGGGGCCGTTTATAGGGCCGGGAAGCGGCGCGGGAGCCAAAAGCGCAGCTCGATCCCGCCCACGGAATTATCGGGAAAAGCCGCGCCGGTTCTTTTGATAACAAAACTGATAAGGGAGTGGCGGAGAGCTCGGCTGGGGGAGAATTTCGGGAATTCGGGAATTCCTTCCCTGAGTTTTCTTTATAAATTTATGTGGGAAATGATCCATTCCCGCGGGAATTGTGAAAATTATTTCAAAAGAAAATTCTTTCAAAAGGACCCTGAGCAAAATGAGGAATTTTCATGGTTTTTCCTCGGTTTTTCAGGTTTTTTCTACTCCTCATCTGAGCGTTCTGGGCAGGTTCCTGTAGGATTGGTAAAAATCAGTTTTAAAAAAAGGATTTTCTCGCACCGGCACCAGAGAATGGGATTGGGAAGCACCCAAATCCAGGGAAATCTCCTCKTGGATCCCGGGACAGGGAGGGAGGAGCGCGGGGCTCCCCAGGCCGGAGCCGCCCCATTTTCCCTGAGAAACCCCAAAAAAACTCGCCTCATTTTTCTCAGGGAAACCCCAAAAAGCCACCCCATTTTTCCAGGGAAACTCCCAAAAAACTCCTCACCTCATTTTCCCAGGGAAACACTAAAAAGTCGCTTTAATTTTCTCAGGGATATCCCGAAAAACTCACCCCATTTTCCCAGGGAAACCCCAAAACTCACCCCATTTTCCCAGGGAAAAACCCCTCAAACTCTGAATTTCCCAGGCTGGAGACGCGGCCGAACCCCCCTTCCCCCGCTTTTCCCGGTGTCCCCTCTCGGCCATCCCAATGTCCCCTGCGGGTCACATTCTGCTGTCCCCATCCCGCTGTCCCCTCTCAGCCCATCCCTGTGTCCATTCCCGGCCCATTCCGCTGTCCCCTGCCCCGTGTCACCTGCCGGTCACATTCCGGTGTCCCCATCCCTCTGTCCCCTCCCGGCCATCCCACTGTCCCCATCCCAGACCATCCCTGTGTCCATTCCTGGGCCATCCCGGTGTCCCCATCCCGGTGTCCCTGCAGGTCACATTCTGTTGTCCCCATCCCACTGTCCGTGCCGGTCACATCCTTCTGTCCCTGCCGGTGACATCCCTCTGTCCGTGCTGGTGACATCCCGCTGTCCCCATCGCTCTGCCCCTATCCCGGTGTCCCTGCGGGTCACATTCCAGTGTCCCCTCTCAGCCCATCCTACTGTCCCCAACCCTGTGTCCCCTGCCCGGTGTCCTCTCCCGACCATCCCGGTGTCCCTGCCGGTGACATTGCAGTGTCCGTGCCGGTGACATTCTGCTGTCCCTGCCGGTGACATCCCGGTGTCCCCATCCCCGTGTCCCTGCCGGTGATATTCTGCTGTCCATGCCGGTGACATTGCAGTGTCCCCATCCCTCTGTCCCTGCCTGTGACATCCCCGTGTCCCTGCCGGTGACATCCCACTGTCCGTGCTGGTGACATCCCGCTGTCCCCTTCGCTCTGTCCCTATCCCGGTGTCCCTGCCGGTCACATCCCGGTGTCCCCATCCTTCTGTCCCCTCTCAGCCCATCCCTCTGTCCCCATCCCTCTGTCCATGCCGGTGACATCCCCGTGTCCATGCCGGTGACATTGCAGTGTCCCTGCCGGTGACATCCCTCTGTCCCCTGCCCGTGTCCCAGCCGGTGACATGGCAGTGTCCCCATCCCTCTGTCCCTCTCGGGCCATCCTGCTGTCCCCATCCCTGTGTCCCTGCCGGTGACATTCTGCTGTCCATGCCGGTGACATCCCGGTGTTCATTCCTGGTGACATCCCTCTGTCCCCTGCTCGTGTTCCTGCCGGTGACATCCCGCTGTCCCCTCTCAGCCCATCCTGGTGTCACTGCCGGTGACATTGCAGTGTCCATGCCGGTGACATTGCAGTGTTCCCATCCCTCTGCCCCCATCCCTCTGTCCATGCCGGTGACATTCTGCTGTCCCTGCCGGTGACATCCCCGTGTCCATGCCGGTGACATCCCCGTGTCCGTGCCGGTGACATTCCGCTCGCGCCCTTTGTCACCCGTCCGTGATTCAGCGCCACGGGCGCGCCCGGGCAGGTGGAGCAGGAAAATCCGGCCGAGTTGGGGCGGGTATAAAACACCCCGGAGCCGCTCCGCGCCGCGCTCCCCGGGATCCCCAAACCTCCCCCGACCCCAAAATCCGCGATTTTCAACCCAAAAAACCCTCCCGAGCCGCCGCTCCCCGCGCAGGAGGCGCCGATCGCAGCCCCGGAGATGATTTTGGGATCGTGACAGCGCCCCGAAGGTACGGGCGGGTTTGGGGCGGCTCCGAGGCTGCCCCGGTGATTATCTGGGGTAAAATCGTTAAAAATCGGGATTGTTGGGGTGAAATCGTATTTGGGGAGCGGTCAAATTGGGATTGTTGGGATAAAACTCCATTTAGGGTTTGTTAAAATGGGGATTGTTGGGGTAAAATTATTAAAAATGGGGATTGTTGGGGTAAAACCCCAGTAAGTGAGCGTTAAGATGGGGATTGTTGGGGTAAAATCGTTAAAAATGGGGATTGTTGGGGTAAAATCCCCTTTAGGGAGCATTAAAATTAGGAATTTTTCGGTAAAATCGTGTTTGGGGAGTGTTAAAATAGGGATTGTTGGGGTAAAATCCATTTAGGGAGCGTTAAAATAGGGATTGTTGGGGTAAAATGGTTAAAAATTGGGGATTGTGGGGGTAAAGTCGTGTTTGGGGAGCATTAAAGTGGGGATTTTGGGGGTAAAACCCCATTTGGGGATCCCTGGGACAGGGATTGTTGGAATAAAATCCCATTTATGGATTGTTGGGATAAAAATCCCATGTAGGGATCGTTGGGATAAAATCCCATTTAGGGATCATTGGGATAAAAACCCAAAAACTTCCCACCATAAAAAAAGCCCAATGTTTTCATTTAAAA